TGGAATCAGAGCATGATGCAAAGAGCAGTTCCTTTCTTGATTTCCTGATACCCAACCTCTAGATGAAGCTTTGCTTTAGCACAAAATAGGGATGTACAAGAAGTCCAGTTTGGGAGTGGGAATCTGTCAAATTATTTTGGCTCAGCTCCCTGGGCTCTGCCACACTTTATCACTGCGCTCACTCCATTTCCTCACACCCATGTGGACATCTGGCAGGATGCAAGCTCAACATTGCATATAACAGGTATGCAAATATTGCTTGTGAAAGCTTGTATAGATGCTTTGCATGGCTGTGCAAAGGAGGAAATTTCTTTGTGCACATATAGCTTGATGGATTTAGACAAATTCCACACCACTGCACAAAGTGGGTTTTGTCCATACATACGGTTTCAATGGACATTAATTTTATCTGATTCTTGATAGGTTTGCTTTGTGTTTATGAGATCCTTTTTTAAAAAAATGAACATGTCTCATCCGTGTGATGCAATCCATGCCACCTACATTTCTAAGAATGAGAACTGAAGTGGAGGAGGTGCAAAATCTCCAATGGTAGGGTTTATACACCTTGTAACTGGAGTAGCAGGGATTGTGTATTTGGCAACACACTAGGTGGATCTGAAATTTAGCACAAAGATGTGCTAATGTTCCTTGGATTTGATCTCAGCTTGAATCATTTCCTAGCTCAGGGCACAGCTTGGGAAAGATGTCTGGTGAGTAGCAGACAACCATGTTATGGAAGGCTCAACACAGCTGAGGAGACAGACTATTTTCCCCACTGTAATTTAATAGCTCATTTTCCTGTTCCCTCCAAAAAATAACCAACCAACCAACCAACCAACCAACCAACCAACCAACCAACCAACAGAAAGGCACTCTAAACATACAGAAGCTAAACTGGAGGATCATGGCATCACCTAAGGAACCCATAAACAACAATGAATCATGAATCATGAATGCATGAATGAATCAGTACCTTATGTTGAAAAGCCATAGATCTTTGCATTGTGACTATTCCAGCCCTTTTCTCTGCTTCCCAGAGGGATAATGCTGGAAACATGGCAACTGGCTCTCCTTTTAAGAATTAATCAACTATTTAATTATTAAAACAATCAATCTGCATGTATAAAATAATCATTTTGCTCCTTATACAAATGTAATAGGTAATTGATACTAGAAACCCAACTTCTGACTCAGAAAATGATAGTATCACTCATCTAGCACCTTTGCATTTAACACACAGCTATCAGCAAAGAATAAATACAGTATTTGAACATTTTCCACACAGATTCTTACCAGTGTGCAAGTAAATCCAAGCCTTTCAACTAAATATGGCCTTTCCCATTATTGCAAGAAGGGGCAGAGGAAAATACAGTGCTGTTGGCATCATACGTTTGTTCTTTCTGTATTTTTGCTGTTCTTTGATTCTTAAAATGCACATATTTTATTAAAAATATTTGAAGTACACAAGAGTAAGAAAATCTATACTCACAGAAACGGTTATTTATCATTGCCATCAGTATTCTGTCCTTCTTCCAAGGAGCTCTGGATGACATTCAGGAGTTTTTCTACTTCTAATACTGCAAATAAAGGCTTTTCTGAGTTTTTCATGCTGACTTCTTATGGGTATTTACAATTCAAGAGTAGGGGAAGTGTCTGCTGCTCTCCCTTCCTGTGCTTAAACTGGACAGCCCTTCAAAAAGAGAACCCCTATAGGCTGTCTTCTGCAAAGTGAGACCCACTGTCATTGCGAGGTATGCTATACACTAACTTATAATTACCCTTTAAGATCCCGGTGCTGACAGCTCCTGAAGGCATAAGCACCTGCTAAGTATGGATTCTTCAACAATTCACCACACCTGAAGACAGAGGACTAACTACAGAGAAGACCACATGGTGCGCAAGTGCTGCCAGTTGCTACAATCTGCCTGAGGCAGTGGCTCCACTATTCTAAATGGTAGGGCTGGCTCAGGCCCAGCAGCTGCTGCTATATGCTTTTCCAGTGAACAAAAACTTAATAATTTTTAAACTTCTGGTCAGAATTTCACCGAAACAATGAACAATGAAACAATGAAAGGCATTTTTCCTCAACAAGACTAAAGCATATCCATGAGATTTTTGAAGAAATATATGATGTGTCAAGATACAGCTTGAGTAAAAAGACAAAATATGTCAATTTTCAACACTTTTTAGCATGCTGTATTTGTGGCATGTGTATCAGATCACACTGAAATTTTGCACAATTGTAGACCTCTTCAGGTAAATTAAAGATACCAGGTTTCAAGTTATTAGTTCTGAAGATATTTTTAAAAGAAATGGAATTTGAAGCTCACCACTGCAGAACTTTCTGTGACTCCCTTTGATTAAATATTCCTCTTAAGCACTCCCTTGCCCCTTTCATTTTCTCAAAACTACATCATGTTGTGCCCAACATGTAGGTGTGTACAGGATAGCAACAGCCTTGTTCAACTTGATGCTTTCCAGATGTTTCAGGCACCAATTCCCGATGGCCTCAGTCAGCATGATTGTGATGAGGAATGCTGTGGGTTGCAGTTCAAAACATCTGAAGAGCAGCAGATTGGGGAGGTCTGACGACAGCATGAATATATTTGGCCTTCCCACCAATTTCTAGAATCAGTACTGGACTGCAAGTCCTACTACAGAGAATTAATGCGTTAATCAGAGAAAATATTTATTTACAGAAATGTAAAAATTATGTTACATTTGGAACAACAATGTCACCAGAACATGTGGGTGATACTTTCAGCACATATCAATGAAAATTAATTGTCTATCCTATTTGTTAAAAACCACCATGGCTTTAAAAGAGCTGTAGGAGTGTAGACAGTTTTTTCATAGTTTTAGGAACTTCTTTGTCTCTCTTGGAAACAATTGTTGTAGCCAAAAAAGCGACAACACTACTTATGTAGAGATACAGAAAGGTAAATGTCTGGTTGCCTTGATTGGATTGTAAATGAATATTACATCAAATGCCCTCTCTAGGTCCATTTCTGTTGTATGCAGAAGTACATGGACACAGGACTCACAGCCCAAGAGATGGTGGATCAAGCACTATATTATACTCAGAAAACAAAACAGAACACTCTTCGCTTGTTCTAATAAAGGTATGGATTGAATGGGAAGAAAGTCTTCACATTGCTTTCACTCAAATGCGGTAATGTTACAATGGAGTGGATTACTTGTGGAGGTGCAGGGTAGAAACTTCAGAGTATAGCCGAATCAGGTCACCTCTAGTCAAAACGATCTTAGGAAACAGGACTAGGAAAAAGTTCCATCTGGACCTCTGCTTGGTGGGGAAGATAATGCAGAACTATGTGGACTAATGGTTTGATTTGATATAGGGCAACTGCCTATAATAATCAAAGATCCAGTCAACTAGAAGTTGTCTTTCTCCTTTGGGGATATTCCGACCAGCTTTATGGATATTAAGACAACAAGCTATCCCCTTGCCCACATCTTTCTTTCATTATAAAGTTCATCTTTCTCTACATGCAAGTTGCAGGAATAATGTGCATGATTTGCTCTCTAGCCAACCAGAAAGCATCAGAGGTATTCTTTGCTGCCACTTATGCAGACCTGTCACCATTGATAATTCATGTAAACTGAGTGTGCATGTAAGATGAGATGGCAATGAATTCATGGAAAAATAATTATTCTGTTTCTGGAAACTAAATTACAGCACTCTATAAGTGATATTAGAGAAAGTATTTCTAAATAGTATCATTGTTAAGACTTAAAAACCCTTCAGATTTTTTGGTGGAGGTGCGCAGTCAACACATGCATATGGAGTGGGGAAAACAGGTTTACCTGTAACTATGTGTGTTTCATTGTATGCGTGCAATGTCACTATTTGTGACAGAAAACACACCTGGGGGGAAGGGGGGAGGAATTGGTCACTATGATGCTGCCACCATCCCATGCACAGTCACAGTACGTACGACTCACCCTTGTGACCATCTGAAAGGGGCTTACTTCTTGTAAAAGTTGAATAATGGCTGAATAATTTCCCTGTTCAAGGGCACTCTTTCATATGCAAACTGTTTTAAAACATATCCTTTGTATAGAAGTATAGTATCTTTTCTCTGCTGTGAATCATAATTGAACTAGGATGGCACTAAGGCAAAGGAAACAGTATGGAATTGTCAAATCCTGGTTTTTTCTCTGGAGTAGCGGCAGCTTCCCCAACATGGTACCTGCCAGATGTTCTGGATTTTTCAGCCTTAGCTAGTATCACCAATGGTAAGGAATCTGGCTGTTCTATTTGAAAACATTAGGAAGGCACCAATTCTGGAAAGGATGGATTAGAATGTAGGTTTGCCTATAACATTTGAGGAAAGATCCATCAGATTTGTTTGGAGATGGTGGGGAGTTTTTTCAACAAGAATGAATTAACATACAGTCACAAAAAACAAAAACAAACCTACTTTCAAAACTCATTTTCAGGACACCTGAAAACTCCAGGAGTGAGAAAGAATTGCTGAGAAACATAGTGCTCAGCCAAAGGCTCCCTTCACATGCTATTGGCATGGGATGGATACCTTCAGGAACTCGCAATTTATTTATTTATTTATACGTACATGAACATATGCCGCCTACCACCATAGTCTCAGGTTGGCTATTTAGTTAGCTGCTCATGTGATACAACACCCACTTTGTTTGGGAACAATTTTAACAGTGGGCAAACTGTGGGATATAGTTGTCTGGTTAAAATACGTTAATGCCATGGCCATCAGTCACGACACTAAAGTATTCCAGTAGCAGCAATCCAGGATCACAGAGTACATATGAAATCACATGTGTTAACTTGTCAATATGGTAGCACTATTGGAACTAGTAATGGAATTTTAAAATCATATTGATCTATATTATTCAAAATGTGCTTATCTGAAGCTAAGATGGAGTAGCAAGGGGGGATTTACACTATAGTAAGGTGTGGGAGTGCAATTTAGCGTACTGAAATTAATTGAAGTTTTCCATTCATTTCAATGGGATATGTATTATGCACAGATCTAGCATATGCAAGTTATATCTACTAATGTGTAATAATGCACTAAAAAAAATCCAGCCAGGAATATTACTTTGCCCTCCATCATGACTCTTCTAATAAAAGTATTCACTTTAAAATAGAAATATAAATAAATAAACATAATTAAAATACTATTCAACATATTGGCTCATAAATCTTTGATGATCTCATTTCAGTATGCTGTAAACATTTAAGTGCAATATCACCTGACTTGAAATATGATGAACCATAAAACATGCTAATCATAAAAATAGCTTTTACAAATATACATTTGTATACAGTGTCTCCTTCATTTTAAATATGTCTTTCATGTTATTATACAAGTCATTGGCTTTCTGACATTAAAATAAAAATAATAATACTAATAATTAGCCAGGAAAAAACACATTTACAATCTAAACGATAAAAATCTGACAATTGTACAGCTTTAGAACATATAAGAAATGGTATTCTAAGTTTCAAATGGCACGTCCATTTCAAGAAGTAAACTCAGTTCTTCATAAAAATTGAGTCAAAGGTATTGTTAGCCAACAGTTCACCTTTCCACAACGGGAAGCCAGTGAATTATCTTCTTGGTTTCTGAAACAGCTGAATGTGATTCCCAGTTCATTTGATCTGTAGAAACTAGAAAATAAAATGCATAGTTCAGTTTGAAAACATTTTAAAGAAAAGAGAAACAGAAGAGGTGATGGGCCTAACTCAATGTGACGCAAGAGATTTGCAACTGGACCCCCTGATGTCTTGTTTTGTGTAGCTACAATGCCTGTTGTAGTATTGTGGTAGAGAGGGTATTATGAGAAGGCAAGGTTCATGGGAGAAGAAAATCATGCAAGGGAAAGTTGAAGGCAGAAGAATAAAAGGAATACCAAACAGTAGATGAATTGACTCCATAAAGGAAGCCACATCCTTGAATTTAGAAGAGCTGAGCATGGCTGTCAAGTATAGGGCATTTTGGAGCATTTTTATTCATACGGTTGTCATAAATCAGAGACAACCTGATGGCACATGACAACAACAACAAATTGCCCCACAATAGCAGAGGGAAAAAATATGGACCCTAAAATTCTACTTTATCCCAGTGTTTCTTCAACAGTTCCACTCCTGGACATTACAGTGATGCTATTCTAAGCATGAAGCTATGCGTTCATGTCAAGAGTCAATGGAAATGGTAATTTGATCCATTTTCTGCATGGATTCATCTTCACAGTGACTCTTGAGTTATCAACTGAATTATCAACACTTGAGAATTAATTATTAATTTTATAAGTACCACAGCTATCCATAACCTTGATGGACTCTGTGTTTAATGAAATACTCTCATCTGTCAAGAGCAGATGGTGTGAGCAGCCTCCTTTGAAGTGTAGTAGTGGCACCACAGAGTAAAATTTATCACTATTTTCTGTATATTATATAGATGTAAACAGCCCACTGTGATGTTCCAATATCATTCCACCTTTGTAAACATGCACAAGAGTTTACTAAGTCAAGTTTACTTTTTAGCCAATGTCTGTAAATGTCCCCAATTATGTTTAGCAACAGACTGAAAGGCAGAATTGTCTGTATGAAGAGGTGTATTTTTCCCTTTGATCTTGCTCTTGTATCAAAGACAGCACTAATGGTGTCTATGTCATTCAAGACTTCTTGCAAGTACAAAATCAGCACTACTCTCAATTCTAAAGAAGCCTTTTTCTTATCTTCTTGGTGGTTGGCCTTTTCTGTTAGATAAAAGACTGAGAGATTTTCAGATTATTTATTCACTATAATTTGATTAGCCAATCTGGAACACTAAAAGCTTCCTTGGGTTATGATATGGAATAGCACTGCCAACCATCTGGATCCAAAGGTTGAATCCTGCTCTGTGGTTGCTGAGATGCTGCAATAAATATTCAGCAGCCCAAATTATAGGGGGAAAGGCTATGGAGCTTTCTTGCAGCGTATATATCCTTACTCTCTGACTTGTTTTAGCCAGATGGAAAGGAAAACGAACATCTAAGTACTCTGACCCACTCTACAGTAATAAAACTTTATCTGGGCCTGCCAAAACATCAGAAAGTTGTAAGCCCCCTTAACATCTTAAAGACACTAATATTTTTAATACTTCCAGAGTGCCAGACTCAGTCCTGTGAGGCATATGACGACAGCAGTAACAGAAAACTAACTTTGTTTTATTCCTTTTCAGCTAATTTCAGTCCAATTTATCATTGGTTGTATGACCGCTGTGACATTTAACACACAAGTACACACACACACACACACTCTCTCTCTCTCTCTCCATACCATATTTATGATGGGGAAAATTATATTAAGAGATTAAACTATAAATTACACCCTAAAACAATGGAGGTGAAATTAAACTCTAGCAAGCTGTCTGGCTTTTATTTTATGTTCTTGTTAAAACAAACACACACCTTGAAAGAAAATCCACTCAGCTTTAAAGAAATTGGATTATGCTTGAAGATATACTCATACCTCCTATTAAATAACACCTAGAATAGAGAATTGGCAGGAATCTGGTAGGCTACCTCATCTACATCCCTGACCAATACAGGAAGTGCAGAACTAGGTTATGCCAAAAGACAGCTGCCCACCTGAAGCCCTCCAGCTAGGGAGAGTTAACCACTCCACTAGGAAGTTGTTTCCATTGTAAAACTGCTCTTACTGTTACTGCTCTTATATATTTCTTAATGATCAACTGAAATCTACCCTCCTGTGATATAATCTTTTTAAATCTGATAAAACGTAGAAATTATTGTCTGTAACTCATGCAACTTTGCATTAGAAATATTGTGGGCTATTTATTGGTTTTTCCAATTTTATCTGGAACTCCTTTGCTTTGCTACATTTTTACTAGGATCAGTCTTAGTATAGGACCAGGAGCAAGAGCTCTACACTTTGTTGATAAGCCAGTTACAGGCCCCAGCAAGTACTGGGATGATGAATGACTGTATCCTGACTTGATAATTAGTCTTGATGTCCCATATATGTTCACCCCCTTGTCCTCTTTCCATATCGATATTTTCCAAATAAATCTACATGGATTTAATAAATCTTTTAAAGTAGTTACATTATTAGGTGATCTGAAGGCTGGCATCTCTAGTATTTAAAAAAGGATCAGGTCAGAGAAACTGAGAAAGATGCCTATATCTTACTCTGGCAAGTTGTGGCTAGTCAATAAACCAGAGCAACACATAAACTATATTCAGCCCCCATGACTGTTTTCTGGTCCTCCCTGTATTCTTCACAAATGCCAGAAATTTTGCAGAAATTTTGCAGGGAAGCAGGCTACTAGTATCTTATGTAATAGCAGAACTGTTCTGGAAGTGCAATTCTTATTGGAAGCAAGGAGACTACTTGTTTTGTATCTTGCTTTGCAGAGAATTATTAATTTGGCAACCTCAGTGCATTACAGAGTAGGGGCAATACAACATACTTGCCCCTGAAGCTGCCCATTCCTGAAGTCTTCAATGCTGATGGACAAATAAATAGTCTTACCTGTAATTAGACAGCTTGCTATATCAAGTGGTTTTTAATTAGGGTTGAATCCAGAACATGCTTTCCACAAAATGGCTTACATGTCTGAGGAAGGCTTCTAGTCCAGAGAAAGGGGAAGTTGATTTTCATTGTTTTCCCCTCCACTGCAGACCTGTCCTCTGAAAATCTATTCCAGAGAGTTGGGGGACCCTGGGCGAGGCAATGCTAGAGACTGCAGCTGAAAAGGGAAATCAGGGAAAATGTACTCCACCCATTTTCTATTGATGGTAGAGTTCTGAGCAGGATCCATCAGCTACCGCTGATGGCCAAAAATACTGGATTCAACTCAAAGCCCTTAAACTTTGATGAAGAGAAAATACTGCTCGCACCACCTTCTATGTACATAGCAAAGCCAGTAGGTCCAATAGAGCTCTAAAGTCAAGGTATCTTCATGGGAATAAAGCTCAATGAAAAGAGAGACAAATAAAATCTAAGCTATTACTTGAATACATTCAAAGATATGTATTTTCAAGGGTGGTTTTCTTCAAGATATTGTAAGAGACTTACTTATTTGAGAAGAAGGTGGGTAATCTGCTAAGAGCTGAATGTCAAAAAAAGATCTAGGGGCCTCAGGAGGAAATGAAGCAGGGGGAGAAAGTGAAGGGAAAAAACAAGCAGGAATGAGGTATGAATCTCAAAAGTGGAGACAGATGCTGTCTTGATGTAGGGCACTTGGGTAAAGAGCAAAAAGAATAGATGTTCTACTTAAAGTTTGCATAAAACAAGTGATAATGAGATGATGATGGAGCTGAAAATGGCTGCATGAAATATCAAGCAAGGATTATTGGCACATTTGGAAAAGAAGAATAATAAAGCTGGACCTCTTTTCAACTGCATATACTAAATGGCTTTCCTTGAGATTTCCTTCCATTAATACTGATTTGCTTGCACATAATGGTCCATAACTCCATCATCAGTTTAGTTCTTAGAGATACTTTTCTTTTGAAAAATAAATTGCAAATTGAAATGATAGCTTAGGAGATGCATTATGAGACATAAATTGTTCAGAACCATCTGATGCTTGGTTGAATAAAATTAACTCTCTTTTCTCTTTCTCTATTTCAGGTCACAATTCCTCTGTATCAATATCTCCCTCTCCCCAGCTCACTTTTACTTTGAATGTATAACTTGTAGCAGAACACCGTTCATCTGAGCACTATGAAAAATGTGATGGGAAGATGCCACAAAATGATGGCAACTGATAAGGAGTAACCCACTAACCTCTGTGAGTCAGTGGCTATTATATGCACCATGATTTGTGAGCCACAAATGCGTCAAGGGAAAGGGATGGTGCTGAAGTGCTCCTTCTCTTCACAGGCCGATTTTAGCATTTTCTGGATGCTTGAATAGGGACACTGTCAGCATTTTTTCCCACTTCAACCATCTCTATGCACAAAGAAGCAATACATTTTTGTGCTCGAGTCCTCCACGTTTGAGCTACTGCAACATGATGCTTTGTGATAAAGCGCTGCTTTAAGCAGCAGTTGCTCTATTTTTCCCTAAGCAACTATTTGCTGGTTAGAAACCCCTGGAATCAATCAATAAATGTTTATTTGCATGATAATGTAAGACCACAAAGCACAACAGTAAAAAGATTAACATCCCAGGAATTGACAAAGAAAGGAAAATGGCCACCAGTGACTATTCAGGAATAATGCAATCTTGAGCAAGGGCTTAGTTCCATCAATCAGAAAATTTCCTGCACCTAAGAAAATACAACAGAGTATGCAGTTTAGCAGGCAAGTGGTCAAGTACAGTTTTACCAGGCATGGATGGGCTTTCCTAAAGTGGGCACTGAGACATAAGCAAGATCAGGAATGTAAAACATGGTCCAAAGGCAGAATCAGGTAGAATTCCATGGATCAACAGCATGAAGGGCTAAACACACACACAGCAATGTCAGGACGAAGGTTGGGAGGAAAACAGGGTAGAGAGATTGTTTCCAGCTGCTCTTAAGTTACAAGTAAGAGCTAATTTGCCCATCCACTGGTGAAAGCCCTAGTCAGGGACTCATTTTTCTCATAGGAGATGGGAAGATTAGTATATAGCTCGGCCTCCTTCATGCCATTCTCATTTCCCTCCTCGAATTGTAC